TCGACGCATCAGCTTGTTGGATATGTGACGAAGATGTTTCCTACCTTTGGTTACATTAATGATGAAATCTTTTTCCAGAAAAAGTTGGTATACTACCCTAATTTTTGATGATTAACCCGCACAGGTGTGTAATCGGGCCAATGGTTGAAATCGGCGACAACGTTGCAACGAGCGCTGTTTATCAGCCTAATATGCCAATTAAGTGGAGTGCGGAAAAGGTTTGGAGAGTGCAAGACTCCCGGCATGCTCGGTCATTCGAACGCACTGAAGAGAAAGAAATACGGACTGAGAGAGTTCGATCCCCTAGGCATTCAGTTGACCGGGATTCCATACGTTCGCGTGAAAAAGCTGGTGATGAAAGGCACGAAAAACGTAACGAGCATTGGTCCCGAAAAAGATCACCCAGTCCTGGGTCCAAAAGGTAATTTTTGTTTTTCTCATTCCGTAGGTCTAGTTCCAGAGGCCATTCCAGGAGGAGTATTGAGAAAACCGAGCCGAAGCGTCGACGTCTATCTCCTGAGAGTATAGTCAGTCACTCCTCCGGATCTTACTCGCACGCCATAACGAGGCGCCTATTGAACATGTCCTTCCTTCTGAACTCTAAGGAACTATTGATTCCTGATCTGCGCTATCGGTTCCCGAGCGTCCTCGCTCCGGTTGACTTGTACCGAGTTGTGTGTCACTGGCAGAATTCGTTCCCACTGCTCAAGCCATTTTATCCGGAAGGATCATCGGTGTACCAAGTAAGCCTACTGAGTCAACTAAAATGTCGGTTGATGGTCGGTGTTCAAGGCAATCTAGTGTGTCAGACTTGGCCCATTGACCTAAAATCCACAAATCAGTTAAGACTCAGTGAATGTATAAGGACGAGTTTTAACCATGAATCATAAGTATGGTTAATCAGTTAAGGATATTTGTTTGAATATCTAATGTGTTCTGAGGGGTTATGAACATCGGCACAATAGTGCTAGGAAACCTGCTCCCTATTGGAATGTTTACCATATGATCGTCTTAATTTCAGCTCGCGCCGGGCGGCGTGTGGCCCGAGCTAATCGCGCCTTCGGATGGTTGGGTTTTCAGCTGATCTTGTGCCTTCCAGAATGTGAGGTGCAGTGTCACGTCCTAGGCTATGGAGCTCATGATGAATAGATACCTTTGACCTACTTCAAGGAATAAAGAACCCCAACAGTCATCTTGACCCTCTGAAGTGCTATGATGTTTTAGCTTCTCACAGCATCTTCAGGTATACCGTATCAATTTGGTACTGCGCGACTAGTCAAGAGCTTGCTGCGTATGCCCCGCCTTGTGAGACTACTTTGTAGCCTCACTGTGCCACCTGGAGTGGGAATTGGGATATATCCTCGACCTCGCTTCTGGGGTGACGGTTTATCATGAAAACCTCCCTGAGTTCCCCCCTGATTCTCCTTTCCAACAAGAACAGTTTGAGGCCCTTGGGCCTCTGCTGGTTACTTGCCTCTGTCCCTTCTACACTTTCTGGGCATTTGATGTCTTTCCGAAAGTAGGTTATCCGTGTCTGAACGCAGCATTCCAAGTGTGGTTTAACTAAACCCTCACATGGGGTGAAACGAACCTCGGTTCTCCTACACGTAACCGTGGAGCATAACGGAGTTTCTCAATTCATACTGGTTGCCCTCAAACACCCGTGATGGAATAACTCCTAGTTCCTTTACTTCCCCTTCTCTCCTGACATCTAAATCGTTCTGATTATCCACTTCAACTATTGCTTAAACGGCGTCATTTGGTCTGTTTTTAAGAGAATAACTTCAATAATGACATTCGTTTATTTGTGCCGTACAATCTTATGATGCACTTATTCCAGTAAAAATACTTCATTTAATTCGGATTGATCACTATTCACTGTTCATCTCAACACGCAGCAGCAGCAGCAGCGTCATTATATATATATATATATATATATATATATATATATATATATAACTAGCTTGCGGGCAAGCATGGCGCCAACCCAATAGTACCAATAATGGGATGGTGGGGATTGTGAAACGGAGGGGAATAGTTGCAATGGATTAGAAGAGATAACGAGCATGACAACAAATACCCTTGTTTCATTGTACCTTTTTCATTTTATTGCGTCAGTTGATCAGTTCTTAGGGGACATGCGATTTCAACAGACAGACCGCACAGCATTCGCGCCACTGACTTCTATTCTGGGCCATATCCCGTCTCTAACCAACAATAGTCCTCATCCTTTGGGCCCCAACCTGGAGGGCGGGCTACACCAAACGAAGCCAAAACTGACACTGGGTTATTCATACATCTACGCCATGTCATGGTCTGATCACCACAAACCATCCAAACAACACGACAAGGTCGACGTAACCAAACCATCGGAGGTGGTGTAAAGTGATTACTTCTGTTAGGAACGATTCCGCATCTGATACCCGATGACGAACTTCGTCATGGCTCACCCTATGTTCCCATTAGAAATGGGCGATGCTTCGGAAACCTCGGGGGTCGAATGCAGAAAGTCAATTAGCATCCTAGACTCGAAGAGGCCAGGTGTCGCAACCGTAAAACAGAACACTACGAACCGCGGCGATGTTAACTGTCCTTTGGGGACAGTCGAATGTCAGACGCAACAGGTTGGCGTAAGCTACTATAGCTTTCGCTTTTCGGGATGTGATATCTTCCCCAACTCCATCTCTATCTGTGATCAAGTTCCGAGGGGAGTGGGTACTAGAACGAGAGTGCAGTCACAGGCTCCTGTCAGTCGTGTACAGGTATTTGGATGGTGCTAAGCACATACCGCTTCTGGATAACTCTATCGCGAAGCGGTTTAAAGTAGGCTGGCCTACATGTGCGTTGTCATCCAGCAAGGCGCTGTCATTGGTGCATTCTGAGTCATGAACTTATATTGTTTTAACGCACGTCTGACTGTGTCAAATCAGGACACAATAATCTTTATGCACAAGAAAGACATTCCATGATTGAGTCAAGAACTGCCCTAGGAGTTACACTGCCGTTAGGCTGGACTTCTTGTAGCACATCCCTTATGACAAAGATTCATACATGTGTGAAATACACAAATACAACAGCCAATGTGAAGGGTAATGGGGATATTTAGCAGCTTTGCCGTACTCCACTGGAGACGGTAACGGGTTATGAAGACTGACCATAGGTTCTGAACCTACCTGAGGCATGACAGGGATCGACACACTTCTCAGGCACTCCATTTCCGAACAAACAGTTCTATAATGTGGTTTTATCGATGGAGTCGAAGGTCACGCGAATGTCTAGAACCACTGGCCTGCGATAAGCACAGCGGTGCTCTAGCAAACGTCGGGGCTGGGGGAGAAGATTAGAGCGATGCATCCTCAACCGGCGCCAAACCCAGCTTGTTCCTCACGTATTGTTCAATATTCGAAGAGTGATGGACGCCGACAGCTCCGACGCTGTTGAATTTATTCCCCTCTCGATGGCGTAAATAGTGCCTTGGGTCTTTTAAAAGATAGTAACAACAATCACTTCCTCCACGAAGGAAGGACCTACTCGGTGTTCCAATCTTTGAAGAACAGAACTTACTGCTCTCTAGCTTCATCGCCTCTGTTCGACCATGAACACGGCATCAATCAAGGGTGATACCCAAAAGTCAGTCAGAACAACACTGGATTCTAGTGCACGATCAAAGCACAACGGAACTTATCGGCTCCTGCTGCCTTGCTGGACGTCCACAGGAAAAGTCCCGCTGATGCTATGCCACAACACGCAAGTTCCCTAAACGTCAGCTCATTGAGATTCCGAGGAAGGACCACCAGAAGTAAATAAATAATTAAAGATGTCATTTTATTTCCTTTTTTATTTAGTGAATATGCAAATGTACAGTCAAATTTCAGGAAGGCTGCCTCGAGAGATACAGAAAACGAGAAGACGGGCGGCTGTGGAGTGGTTCGGACCTTGGACTTCTGGGTCGCAACTTGGTGACCTAACCACTTGGCCACCGCCCGAAGTAGTGGTAGATAGCAAAATGCAGAAGAATATATATATATATATATAATATATATATATATATATATATTTCCGTGTAATTGGACATACGGGTCCGAGGAAAGTAGGCACGAAGTAATCAGAGTCCAGCGGCTCTGGTTCATATACAGTAACACCGTTTAGACTGAGCATTTCAAGGCTCAGTTCAACTGCATCATCATCATCGTACAGTGAGATACAGTAAAGCTAACTTCGCTGATCGCTGCCAAACTCGCAATGCATACAAGGTTAGTTGTAAAATTTAAGGTGGATAGGGATTGGACCTATTTTGAGAGAGGGATAAGAAGATCAACACACAATACGCAATCAAACTCTGCATACATACCGTTTTAAGCATTCTGACCTCATAGGAAACGACAACAAGAAGGCCATTGCTGTCGGTTCACTGCCATATCCTTCAATGTCTCCAACCAGCCGGTTGTAGGGTCTTCCGAACCCCAACCTGGAAGGCGAGAGACACCTACTCTACCTAATGGCTGTGCTTTTTTCATGCCTCGTCTCCACACCTGAGCATGTGTAATAGGTGCCCTAACCAGCTAAGCCTACTAATCTGAATTCGGTGTGCTAGCAGGTTTATCCCTGATAAATTCCCAAACACGGCGACTTACCTCCAGATTACTAATCCCTTCGCTCCATCCCACATGGGCTAAACTACCTAAACACCGATAATCGAAAACTTCTATTCAACGGATATCTTTTACTCGCAGATTCAAGGTCTCAACCATAAATCAGAACGAAACGGTCGGTGGCATTATGTACACGGTCTCTCAACTTCAGTTCAACTACCCCCTTCGACCTTGGACCGGCCGACCCTAACATCAGCTAGTTGACTATTGGCAGTTGATATCAGTCCTCGGAAAGTATGTCTCAAAACTCATAAGGCTTCCACGCCAGATGGGCAGTCCTTATAGGTTTCAATGGTGGAGGTTGAGTCTTTGGTTTTGGATTTGACTACTGGGTTCATCTTAAAAGAGCGAACAGGTTCCAGCTGAATGGGGCGAATCGTTCATCTTACCGATTTCCACTTTCGGTTTCAGTTTTTATAACTGTTAACCGTGCACTTTCGTGCGTCGGTTTTCGTTGCTGCCTTTTCGCCTCCCATTTGGATAAAACATCAGAATAAGGGTTGTAGTGATAAGAGCAAATCCAAGCGGAATATAGGGAATTCATATAGACAGGTTGCAAGAATAATGAATAGATGCATGAGCGCCACTGTTTGCGACACAGCCATATCGCTCAGTGTCTCTAACCATAGTTGGCTAAAAACCCTGATTCCAAACCAACCAAGAGGATTAGTTGTGTCAGTGGTCATTTGGGAATTAAAATGTATCGGGCACCTTGGACGTTTGACCCCGTCCAAAGGGCGTTAATCCGATGGAATGGACACGGCCCTAATGGACTGGGGACCAAGCTTTGATTAGTAAAAAACTCCGGTCGTGAACTTTCTAAGGAAATTCTCTGGGCAACCCAAGAGTATCGTGCCCCCAAGCAAATTATGGACTTTTCTTTGTGCCCCGATTTGTTTGGCACAGTCTGTATTCGGGCGCGTGTGAAATGCACATATCCCTCGAGTTGATGATGATGTGCAGATATACGCAAAACGTGACCAAACTATCGTACCGATACGGTGTCGATCAAAGCGAACCTCGTTTTTTCGATCCTGATGTTCTCACCAGACAGGAGCAATGCTTCGCAGAGGTATCGGTGGTCGATGGTGTGTTCGATCTAGACGTACAATTGACACGATCGACTCTTGCTTAACTCCCATCAACAAAACGAGGGGAACAGGACTCGAGGCAATAGTCAGTGTATTCCATAGTTGGGGTTCGATACACAAATATATACGGGAAATCACGTATAAGAGAGCAGCGCAGAGTTGCACCAATCAGGTTGCGTCCATG